TCCACCTCCTTCTCCGCGGACGGGGTGATCTGCAAACCTGGCTATTCCTGGAAGGTCTCGCGCACGCGTTCCCGGCTTCATCGGTCCCCCCGGCGGCTGCTCTCCGACGACAGGAGGCCGCGTGGCTTCTCACGCAGCCTGTGCGGACGATGTGTGTGACAGGAGCTTTCAGGGAACCCCGACGACTCCATAATAAAATGAATGTCTGCACAATGAGGATGGGGGGGAGAAGGGTGAGAAACAGTACGTTTTAAAAAAAATGTATCACAGCCCTGACCGGTGTGGCTCAGTGGATAGAGCGTCGGCCTGCGGACTGAAGGGTCCCAGGTTCGATTCCGGTCAAGGGCATGGACCTTGGTTGCGGGCACATCCCCAGTGGGGGGTGTGCAGGAGGCAGCTGATCGATGTTTCTAACTATGCCTCTCCCTTCCTCTCTGTAAAAATCAATAAAATGTATTTTGTAAAAAATGTATCACAACATACCATCTGTAGGAATTTAAAAAAAAAAAAGAATTCAGGATGTGAAAAGTAGTTACGATAACTGTCTGGGGTTCGAGGCTACACGGACGTTTTAACGTTAACGAGGTTAGCAGAACTGGAGAACGTTAAGGAAGGCGGCAGCTCTTGACCAAACGCGTCTTTCTTGTGGCTTTAATTTTACACAAAAGTACTGTCGTCGGGGGATATGGAAAGTTTATACACATTTTTGATATTGAGTCTTGATACTCATGACACAGATGTTGGTTCCCTCCGGCAAAACCTCCTTTATAAGAATTTTTTTTAAAAAAAATATTTAAAAAGAATAAGTCTTTATTGATTTTAGAGAGAGAGAGGGAGAGAGAGATAGAAACATCAATGCGAGACAAATATCAGGGATCGGCTGCCTCCTGCACGCCCAACGACTTGGATGTCTCGTGAGTGTGTTTTTTTGTTGTTTTTTGTTTTTTTTTTTACTAAAATCATTTTCGAGAAGATATTTCCCCCCAAAAAACATACTGTGAGAACGACCTTTAGAAATATCCTAAGTGAATGTATTCTCCGGGCTTCTCTCGCCGACACCTCTTGGCTGTAATTAACTTCAGTTGCATCAGTGTCTACAGAGCTGGCGGCTTCGCGGGCCTGCTCTCACTCCCGGTTTATCTCTCGGTGCAGCTTGCTCTCCGCATGCGGGACACACTGCGGTCACCTGCGCTCCGGAGATTGGGCCTCAGACTGCGTTTCTTTCCTTTTTAAAAAATATTTTTTTTTATTGATTTCAGAGAGGAAGGGAGAGGGAGAGAGAGAGAGGTAGAACCATCCATGATGAGAGAAAATCACGGACCGGCTGCCTCCTGCACGCCCCGCACTGGGGATGGAGCCCGCAACCCGGGCCTGTGCCCTGACCGGGAATCGAACCTCGACCTCCTGGTTCCTAGGTCGATGCTCAACCCCTGAGCCACGCCGGCCGGGCTGGAGGTACAATTTTTGTAAAGCTCTACGGTTGCTAAAGATTTCTTACAGGAATGGACGGTAAACATTTCAAACTGGATGTGCATCCATGGTCGTGGGTCTGGAATATTTTAAGAGAAATAATGGGGAAAAATATACACGGCATTCTGAGAAATACAAAACAGATGTCTCCCAAAATGCAGGGTATTTATATACTTGTAAATAGTATATTTTTCCATAACGTGGCATTTCTAATTTAGGACAGTGTGTGTGTGTGTGTGTGTGTGTGTGTGTGTGTGTGTGTCCATGGGCGGGTGGAGCTGGCAGAGGGAGAACACATTTTATTCCATGTTCTACCCTTGAAACGGCATAAAACGAGTCTTTTTAAAATATATGTATTTGTATTGATTCCAGAGAGGCAGGGAGAGGGAGAGAGAGAGAAACATCCATGATCCTGCACGCCCCACACTGGGGATCGAGCCCACAACCCGGGCATGTGCCCTGACCGGGAATCGAACCCTGACCTCCTGGTTCATACACTGATGCTCAACCGCTGAGCCACACCGGCCGGGCCTCTGTTCTAATTTTTTTAAATCTCTTTTTCTGCCCGTCTGTTTGGTTGTTTGTTTGTTTGTAAAATGCGTTTAAGAACCGAGAACTCGGCAGCTCCCCCAGCTCAGCATCACCACGGGTGCCACGTGGTCTCTCCAGCCAGACCTCTCCTCCAAGGAAAAAAAAAGCCCCCCCAAATTCATTTGATCTCAATCTGTCACAACACATAACCCTCCATCCTTGTCCCTTTGAAGAGCTCAGAGGCTTAATGGCTTTTTCCTTTGTTCTTCTGCCCCAGACAAGGAGTTGAATGCTTTCTATTTTGTAACAAATAAAACTTTTTATCTCCTTTTTAAACCTCTGGGTACATCCTCTTCCTCCTCCTCCTCCTCCTCCTCCTCC